TTGTTTAATATACACACAAGAATCCGCTGCTGTTCTTTTATAGCTATGACTCACCATAAAAGAATCAAACTTTTTGTACCACTGTCGCGGAGCTTGTTTCAAGCCATACAAGCTTTTTTTCAATTTGCAAACTAAGTGCTCTTTTCCCTTTCACTTCAAAACCCTCAGGCTGATTCATATAAATATCCTCCTGCAAATCACCATGCAAAAATACAGTTTTAACATCAAGTTGCTCAAGCTCAAGATTCAAACTAGCTGCCAATCCCAGTACCACTCGAATAGAACTCATTTTTACAACTGGAGCAAAAATCTCATCAAAATCGATGCTTGGTTTCTGAGAAAAACCTTTTACTACCAATCGAGCTTTGTACCTTACTAGTTTGTCACCATCCTTTTTCAACTTGAACACCCATTTATTCTTTAATGGCCTCTTTCCTGTTGGAAGTTTAACAAGATCATAAGTACCATTCTTTCGCAATGACTCCATCTCTTCTTTCATTGCTTTTAACCAGTGCTCTCTATCCGGAGTAGCCTGCACATCTTGAAAGCTTTCTGGCTCCCCTTCACTGGTAACTAAAATAAAATTTGAACTTGGATACCTGGTAGATGGCCTGCGCTCTCTAGTAGATCTCCTAGGCTGAGACTCTACATCATTTGATGTCGAAGGTAGCTCCCCCTGCTCAACACTCTCAGGTAGAGAGGATTGCTCCCCTTGCTCAAAACTAATAGCATCTGGCTCATCACCAACTGTAGCTGGCTCATCCATATCCCCAAGTTCTGTTTCTGGCTCATTTTCACCATCTGTGGCTCTTTCCTATGAAATCTCTGTCGGTGTTGAAACATCACACTCAACAGTAACTCGTGTAGTCTTCTCATTTTTCTCAAGGTCTGCTATGGTTTCTTTTTCATGAAAGACCATATCTCTGCTTCTGACTGTCTTTCTCTTTACTGGATCCCATACCCTGTAGCCAAATTCCTCATCACCATATCCTACAAACACACACTGTGTAGCTTTACTGTCAAGCTTTGATCTCTGCTCTTTCGGCACATGCATGAATGCTTTACACCTAAAAATTTTCAAGTGAGAGTATGAAGCATCTTTTCCTGTCCACACCCTTTCTGGAATGTCAAAGCCCAAAGGAACTGATGGTGACCTGTTAAGTAAATAACAAGCTGTGTTGACTGCTTCACCCCAGAATGGCTTTGGTAATTTTGCCATCCTCAACATACATCTGACTTTTTCCACAATGGTGCGATTCATTCTTTCAGCTATACCATTATGCTGCGGTGTTCCAGGTTCTGTCCTCTCATGCCTGATCCCATGCTTTGAGCAATACTCTTCAAAGCTTTTAGATGTGTATTCCCCACCATTATCAGTTCGAATACACTTCAAGGGTAACCCTGTCATCTTTTCAACCATGGCATGAAATTTTTGAAAATACTGCAGTACCTGACTTTTATATTTCAACATATACACCCAAGTCTTACGTGAAGCATCATCAATAAAAGTAACAAAATATCTGCTACCACCAAATGACTCAACCTCAATGGGACCACATACGTCAGAATAAATTAATTCCAATCTATTTTCTTTTCTCTGAGAACTTTTACGAAAAGAAACTCTATGATGCTTACCAAACAAACAATAATCACATGAATCGAGATACATACCTTTGGTCAAGGGAATGAGAGAGTGCCTTGCCAAAACCTATAACCCTTTTTCACTCATGTGTGCCAGCCTCCTGTGCCACAAGTTTGCTGAAGCATCATTTTCAACGGTATTTACCTGGTTATCGTTCAATTGCATCCATGTCTTATACATTGTGCAGCATAGTTTTCCCCTTGCAACTACCATAGATCCTTTGAGAAGCTTCCACTGTCCATTCTTTTGTCGACTTTCATATCCCTCCTTATCAAGGACATTAATAGCAAGCAAGTTCATTCTCATATCTGAAATGTGTCTGACATCCCTTAAAGTCAACATGCAGCTTGTACTAGTTTGTACACTAATATCACCAATCCCAACAATCTGCGACACACTCTTGTTTCCCATCTTGGTACAACCAAAGTCTCCTGCTTTGTAAGTTGTAAACAACTCTCTCTTAGGAACACAATGATATGCCGCTCCTGTGTCAACTATCCACTCAATGCCGGGATCACTAACATGATTACAATCACCATGTGTACAAATCAAAGTAACTGAATCACTATCTGAATTCACTGCTGCAACATTGCCATCATCTGAACTCTTGCCTTTCTCATCTTTTCGCTCTTGCTTCAAGATTCTACAATTTCGTTTTATATGACCCGCCTTACCACAATGGAAACACTTCACTTTACCTCTAGATTTGGATCTATGTTTAGACTTACCACGGCCTTTTGAGTCCTGACCTCTGTCGATGTTTCTACCCCTGTTCTCTGTGACCAGAGCTTGATTCCCAGGGTCTACATCTTTTCGCCTTGCTTCTTCATTAAGCATACTGTCCTTTACCATCTCCAATGTCACCTTATAATCAGGAGCTGAATTAAGAACAGTCACAACTAGAGTATTCCAGCTGTCTGGCAATGAACCCAAAAGAAATAATGCCTTCATTTCATCATCCATTTTAAGCTCCATAGTAGTCATCCGATTAAATATATCTTGAAAATCACTCAAGTGCTCTGTAACAGATCGTCCATCCCTGTACTGTAAAGTTGCAATCTTTTTAACAAGCATAACTTTATTCATACATGTTTTTCTCTCATAAAATGCTGCCAATTTTTCCCAAACAATGTGAGCATCTGACTCCTGCGCTACATGATGGAACACGCTAATATCAACCCATTTTCTGATTGTAGCCAGCGTCTTTCTACCTAGCTTCTTCCAGCTTTCATCTTTCATATCTGCTGGTTTAGCCGAATCACCCAATACTGGCTCATACAAATCTTTACAGTATAGATGATCCTCCATCATAGGCTTCCAAATTGAATAATTCGATGCTGTCAATTTTATCATGGAACCTGTATCACCCTCCATGATCTCAAACAGAATTTACTTCTATCCTGGGATGCTTCTGTATCGATGTTTCAAAATAACCCTCGCTCTGATACCACTTGTTGCGCCTGAAGCAATAATCACAACAATACAGAAGCAATAGACAACAATCAATAATCAAATGCGCAGGAAAAATAAAGCACACCAAGATTTACGTGGAAAACCCTCCAGTGTAGAGGGAAAAAACCACGGGCCACCAGAAAAATCTTCACTATCAAATAATAGTTATACAAAGTTCTTCTCTAGCTAAAACTAGAGCTAATCAATAACTAGAGAAACAATTGGAGAAATCTCACCAAATAAGTGACTCAACAAATACACCCTGGATTTGTTCCTAGAGAGCTTCAAACCCGATCTTCACCGTTCAGAATGTATAACTCTGAATCATAAACCTCCTGACAAGGTTCCAACTCAATCGGACCACGGATCGACTTCCGTTTAACCAACTCTCCCTTCTCTTTTTTCTCTCTCTGCTTTTCCTGGCTTTTCTTCTTTCTCTGCTTGGTTGTCGACACACACATAAAACAACCCCACCTCTTTTTTATTAAGTAGCTAGGGCTCTGTGTAAAATAAAAGATCAAGGCCCATGACCTTTACTTGGTTCAAAACCACTTACATGGGACTGGACCCCATTTTCTTAACACATGTGTCATTCTCATGTGTTTTTTTATTTTTCATTTTTTTCAATCAAATAAATTTTACAAAAAATTTATAAGATGAATAAAGATAACAAAATAAAAAAAATTGTTATCCGTAACAACACACAAACATTCTTCTAGTTATCAAATATTAAAGGTAAAATATCAAATGAGTTGACAAATCATGAAGTGGAAATTCTTATACTACACCAAAAAAAAAAAAAAGAATAATTTGGACTTTTTTTATTTTATTTGAATAGCATGGTAGTTGTAGTAAAACTATTCTAACTATAGCTTTTCATAATATTAGTCAAAATATGTGAACTTCTATAATCTAAATATATGTGACGATATCCTTTGTTGGTGTGAGTTTGGAACCATGGATATTAAGATCAGGTGAGGTCGTTCACTGCGATTTCGTCCTTGACTCCGATTAATGCTGATTCGCCTTTTTTAGATTACAAGTTGAAAATCAATACTATTTTATCTAATGTTGGATTTACAAAATAAAAATACAACTCCAAAAGCCATCATCTGATCAGGAAAGCGGTCCATTTACCTGGTTTTTTTCTCTACGATAGACTCCAAATTAAGCCGTGAGGAAATTCGAAAATGTCACCTAATTTTATAGTGGACAATCGTACTTTGAGTAATTTTTTTTATTTTGACAATTTGTTCATTTTTAGTCAAAAACAACCCACGGGATTTTAAATCTATCCATAATTTTGTAATTAATATCCATTCTCTGTAAATAATTGTATATTGTTTTGTCCCAAGCGTATATGATTCTAAGGTAGCAAATTCTCGTCCTTATTTCCAATATGTTATTTGCTGATTCCAAAAAATGAATAATTTCATATTGCAAGAAATTTCATTTTAGCAATAAAATTCTGCTAAAAGCCACATGCCTTTTAGTGATCTAATAATATATTAGATAATAATGGTAAATATATCTAAACCGTCTTGATATATTAAAATTTTGAATAAAAGATATATTTTAGTTTTAAAAAAAAAGAATTTAATTTACCTTCTTAATTAGTCCAAAAACATTTGTTATCTTCTTAAATACTCCATTTACAATTAGTTAAAAGTCTAGACTAACCCTGAAAATAAAATTAAATGATCCAATTAATTCTAAAATCACAAGTTAAACCAAAAATTATATAGCTTAATACCGCAATTAAGCCCTACATCGTCATTTATGCCCAAGCTTAATTATCTTAAAACTATGCATCAAATTTTTAAATTGAGCAACTTTATTGAATTGGGTGGATGGTATTGATGATTTTATTATGTATTCGTTTGAATAAATATAAGCGAAATTCATAAAGTAAAACATGTAAATAATTGCATTAAGTCGAACTTTATAGCATAAAATAGAAATTTGGAGAAAGAAATGCTAAAATCTATACTACAGACAAAACCGATTCGATCTTATTGGTATATATATAATTTATTAGACTGGGCATTCAACCATTGTGCCAGAAATGCTAAGAAAGAAGTTCAGCAACTCTTTATTATTTTTCTAAAAAGCTTTATGCTAATGAGCTTTTTTATTTCTTGAAGAAATGAGAGGAGGGATGCTTTGTTCGTGTCTGAAGAAATTTTCAGGATCAATCATCGTCTTCACATGCACCAATCTATCAAAGTTGTTCTTGAAATATTTACGACCCCAGATACTTGCTTGTGCATAACTAGTATTACCTTTATTGTTGTTCGTTCCAATGTCAAGATCTCTATAATTAATGTATGCCTCTCGTGGAGATTTTGAAACAAAAGAACTCATGTAACTGTAAAGCCTTCTGATCCATCTTATGTACCTTTCAGAGTTTATGTTGTCTTCTTCTTGCCAACCCACATTATATAAGATTTTGTACAAATTGCCAGCTCTATGTGGAAATGGAGTTGCACTCTCTGGAATCTCATCCATTATCCCCCCATAAGCAAAAAAACCAATAACACCAGATTCTGCTTCTTCCTCAGAAAATCTTGACCATAAACCTCTCAGTCCAATTTCAGGTATGGGTTCCTTTACATAGTCAGATTTTGCTTTGTAGGATGGCCTGGTAAGAGGACTCTGAAAATTCCTATCAAGCAAAATCTCCAACGATTGATTTCGTATTTGGCCAAAGTAAAGAATAGATTCAATCCAACTCATCTCAATGCAATCTTCCTTAACTAGTCCCAGCTCAGGAAATCTCTCTTGCATTAACTGAACAAACTCATCAATGCCACCAAGAAATAATGAACTAAATGAAGCTACAACTGTTTTCTTCCCATCTTGACTAGAATTCACCCTGTTTAGAGCAACAGATGAGTATATTCCATAAGGAAGCTCTGGTGCAACATACTGCCAACGATGAATAAGTTTGATTGCATTTTGTTCAAAGGTCTTGCTAACTGAAAATGCAGTCACAGTTTTCGGAATAGGAACCAACTTTAGTTTCCATGAGAGGACAATTCCGAAGCTACCACCTCCACCTCCTCGAATTGCCCAAAACAAATCTTCCCCCATGGATTTTCTATAAAGAATTCTTCCATTTACATCAATGAGTTGAGCATCAACTATGTTATCAGCAGCAAGACCGTATTTTCGAAACAATAAGCCATATCCTCCTCCGCTAAAATATCCACCAGTACCCACAGTGTGGCAAGTACCCGCTGGAAAGGCAAGAGTTGTACTTTTTTCAGCAATCCTGTAATAAAGTTCACCAAGAATTGCACCAGATTGAACCCATGCAACTCTATTTTCAACATCAACATCGACTGATCGAAAATTAATCAAGTCAATGATGACAAATGGAACTGCAGAAACATAAGAAATACCTTCAAAATCATGCCCACCACTTCTAGTTCTAGTTTGGAGCCCATGTTTTCTTGAACAATAAATTGTTGCTACAATATGGGATGTATTTACTGGTGTTACAATGACCAAAGGTTTGGGTGTATCTGGTGTGGAGAACCTAAGATTTCGGATAGTAGAATCCAAAACAGAGGAAAATGAAGAATTATTTCGTGTGTAGATTACTTTAGAAATAGTAGGGTCATTTGAACGAAGGGAAAGGCAATGAAGAAAATCCTCATGAGCCGAATTTGCCCATGACAAGGAGAAGAGAGAAGCAAAAAGCAGTGGCGTTAACAGTGAAAAGTGAGGAGACTTCATTTCTTATGTTGATTTTGTGCGTCTAAAGTATATTGAGAGAATCCATATTTATAAATATTCCGCAAAATATGTGAACCCCTGGATGAAATTGAGGAGCGACTCGACTTAATTTGTTTTCTTCTGTTTTTTCCTACTAAAATGAAGGTGATCCAGACTTTGATCAAGCAAATAAATAAATATTCGACGTGACGTCGTTCATGGCGATTCAATCTTTGACTATAATGCGAGGGTTACACATATATGTTTAGATAAAAAAAGCTTTTCAAATTTCTCTAATTTTTTCAAAGAATTTGTAGCGTGCACGTTAAAATCAAACCCAATTTTCAACTTTCAGATCGCAAATGATAATGAAAGAATATATGCGATGCAATTCCGGATGCATCATTTAGGCGGTGCCCCGCTATGTGAACTGTCGTTAGAAAATGTCCAATTCGTTGACTAGGAATTATACTACGAAGAAAGTTACCAGTGGCCACCTAATCTGACTAACGGACAATTGTCCCTTTATTTTTTAGTTTTCATTTGACAAAAAAATTTTTTTTTTATTGTAAACAACCAATGAGATTGAGATTTTAAGTATATCCATAATAACAAAAAAAGAAATATAGTCAGAGAGAATAATGATAATTTTGTCATATATATGCTCAAGGTTTTCAACGTCGTTGATTGCCTTAGATGATTGCTATGCACTCATTTAAATAATGATGTTCTAATTATTATCAAAAATTAAATTAAATGTGTCTTAATTATATAAATCTATATATTAAATTAAACAAATCTCACTAAAAGTGCATATAATTTTTTCAACTTAACCTTAGAATAAACAAACACATTTCCCTCTTCCATATGACACCCGAATTGGGCTTGGTACATTTTTATTAATAACTCCGATTTGAGTTAGACCAAATGCTACAAGTTCGTTAAGCAACTCGATCCGTGGAAAATATTTTATTTTGAACACATTATAAACATTGTATGATTAATTTAATATTAATTATATGTATGTTATATATTAAACTATTTTCAACGAAACAATTCTTAATTTAATAATTTAAGTGTAACTCATTAAATTCAGTTGCACATTTGATTATTATCATTGATGTGTCCCATGTCAATCAATTTTTTGCTTGTTTTTTTCTTTGAATTTTTTATTTTGATTTTTTGCTTACTTTTCTTTTTAGTTTTATTTATTATATTTTGTTTATTTATAATTGCTTATTGAATTTGTTTATTATTTTATTACATGTATATTTAAATTTTATTTTAAAGTTATATTTTAATCATTTGACAACATAAACAAACTAAAGATATGGGTTAGATAAATAAATTTGTAATTTTTTATAATTATATTCATTTATTTGTATCATGTAAATTTTATAAAATTTTGTAAAAAAAAAAAACGAACATTCTTTCAATGATAAAATTTTTAAAAAAATTACAAATGTGGTTTTCTAGACATTCCAAAGAGAAAATTTTTCCTAAAATTTTACCAAAAGTGTTTAAAAGATTTTGAAAATATTCCAATAAAAAATTTTATTTACTTTTCTAATAAAACATTTAGTAAAAAATAAAGTAGATAAAATAAAAATAAATAAATTTTCTTAAAGTATTAAATTAATTCAACGACATAATCTATTTAAGGGAACAAATGGATTTCTTAAATATTCTTGAGATTAGACTTGTAGTTTTAAACATGACACTATAACACTATATGAAATGATATGAAGTAGCTTTTGTAAGTTTTGAGTTTTTATGATTTATATGGTGTGAGTTTGTAATTTGGTGTTTTTTTTATGAATTTTGAGTTTTTATTATTTATTATTTATAATAAAATAAATTAAAAATTAAAATATAATACTAAGGATAAATATAAATATTAAAAGAAATAAAATAAAAATAAAATAAAAAGTTACTTTTATTATTTTTCTTTTATTTTAAATATTTTGTAAAAAATTATAATTTAAATAATTAAAAAAGCATACATTTGATCAAATTATTAATAAAAATACAATGCTAATAACATATACAATATTGAAAATGAAAATACTATATATATGTCAATTTTTGGTTTATTTATTATTATTATTTTTATACTAAAATAATAATAAATATATTCAAAACAATTAAAAATTTGACAAGGGTTAATTCCAATTGTTTATAATGGGAAAGGGGAGAAAAACATCATTTTCTTTGAATTCATCAATAAAAATAAATCACATGTTTAAAATCGATGAAATTTACCATATGTACTTTGTTAACTAGACAATTTTAATCATTTAGCTTTTTTTTTTTTTTTTGAATGACTAAAGAACATTGATTCAAAGAATCATATTCTAAGTTATACAACAAAAAATGGAAGAAGAAAAAATTGGTTTATAGTAAACTCTCTTTTTTTACCAAGATAAAAAGAGGAAAGTTTTTATAAGTATAATAATAAAAATGATTTTTTTTTACTTGCTATTATTAAGAATTGAATTTTAATTATTAAAATTAAAAAAATTAATATTTTATTAACAAATTACTCAACAAAATAAGTAAAATTTACTTATTGTTTTCAAATACAAAAGAGGAGATATGACCAAAATTTTTTGCATTTTCATTTCAAAGAAATTTTCTAGTAGCAAAATTCAAAACCGCCTTACAAATATTTGATTTTTAATGTTGGAAGGACTTAAATTTTAGAAATTTATACCTAGGCCCATTTGGATTCAAATGTGGCTCTAATGGATATGTTTTTTGTTTGAAAAGTTGTGCCAAGTGGACCATAGAAACATTTGGCAAACAACTCCATGACAGCGGTAAATAGTTTTAAATGCACCGTATTCTTTTCTTTTTAATTTTTTTTTTGTTGACTACTTTTCCCTTTAGCGAAAATTTTTTTCTTCACCACAATCTTCTTTCCTATAATGCCCTTATTTTCTTATTTCTTTTTTTAATCTTTTTTTACCCTTCAAACAATGGCAAAGGAACAAAAATGTCCCTTGTAAGTTTTAACTTTGCCTTTTCATTATATATAAATTTTAATATAATTTTTTTAATTGTTATTTTATCTTTTCATTATAATTTACTTTACTGTCATGACTGAATTTGTATCCAAACATATATTTCGTCGCTTATTTTAATTTTACTACTATAATAATCAATTTTACCGATACAATAACAAATCTCATCTCCACTACCATTTTCAATTCTATTGAAATTAATTTCATCCTAATCTTAATAAACTCTTATTATATGAGAGTCTAATTACTCATATTTAGAAAGTAAAAGTGCCTTATATACCAAGTCTACCAAATTAAAGCTAAATTCATATATACCTAATCTAACTATTATACATTTTTGTCTATAGGTTTATACTTGTGTGACACCAATCAAATAAAGACACAAAGGATATTTCTCATTTGTTTTAGGGTTAGCTAGGTAATTAAGTGTTATTTGAGAGAGGAACTTCCAAATATGTTGAGAAAGGAAAGGGGAAACAACACAGAGGGCTTGGGAGAAGAAAAAAGAAAAAAAGAAAGGGGTTAAGGAATCTGTAAAGAGAAAAAAAAATAGGAAAATGGAGAGGAGATAAAGGAAGAAAAAGAGAAAAATGAGAAGTGGTTTGCAAAGAAAACAAAGGAAAAAAGAATTAAAAGAGAAAAAAATGAAAGGATCTAACAAAAAAAGATCTTTGTTACCAGATTCCATTTCTTACCCTTTTGGTAAAAGATGAGGAATAATAGGGGATTTTAAGGAAGAAAAGAAATAGAGAAAAGGGAGAAGATTATTGTTTACGATTTAGGGCTTCTTTATCAAATTTTAATCAGAAACTCTCTCGCTAACCAATAAAAGAAAGAAAATTAAAAAAAAAAAAATGAGAAAGAAAAAAGCATCACCAACTTTGAACATGCTTTTATGAATTTTTCTTTTTTTTGCTTGAAAGTTGAAGATACGTAATAAAGGGAGGACATGGATCAAATGAAGGGAAAGGGATGATTAAGCTTCTCACCCATTTTTTCAATGAGAAGATAAGCAATTTTTTTTTTGTTTTTTTTGTTTTCAATTCCTATATGATTTTGATATATATTGAATGAAGTATGGTCTCTTTGATATATAAATATATATGTAGCTCTAGAAAATGTAAGATTGCTTAAAACATTTATTTAGCCAATTTTTATATGTATGAGATAAGCTTGTTTGATTTAAAAGTTTGACTTTTTAACGAAACCTAATAAAGTTAGTAATGACCATCCTGAAATATGAAATGCATGGTTGACTAACATGTTCCTATTGACTAACATTTTCCTTTAGTAATTCAAATTAAACTTTACTAGGTTAACAATAATTTGTGCAACCAGTTAATTTAAAAGTACTTGTGATCATATAGACTATTATTCTGCATATGGAGTTTTTAAAATTCATAAGTAAGTCTAAAATAAAATAATGTGATGTATTTTTTATTTATCATATGAAATTAACAATTATTTTTAATAAATCTTAATATAGTATACGTGATAACTTTTAAATTTTATTGGTAAAATTTAAAACCTCATAATCAAAGTATGAGATACTTTCTTAAACATATATATGATAATAAATAACATATTAATATTTCATTATTGACGCACTCGTTTATATTATTATTTACGTACAATACAAATGATAAAAAAAAAAAAAAGCAAGTAGTTACAAATACAAATGAATCAAATGGTTTTTCTATTTGGCATTTTCTTTGTTATAATAATGTGGAAAATGATTGTTATGATCAATCTGTTAGTTGGCGGAATAATTTTAGCACTTTAGTTGGCCATTTCTCAACGTTAAAAGCTGCCCAAACTTAATTGATTCTGTATTATAGTATTAATTTTTCTGTCGTTTTAGATTGTTCCATAATAATTTAACAGCGCCAATTTTGTCATGTTTTCCCCTTTCTTTTTTTTACCTTATGTTTGGATAATATAAATAAATAAAAGAAAATATATTTTTTTTAAAAAGGTATATATACCTTTTATTTGGATAATTAAAATTAATAAAAAAAAATTCTAACAACCATTGTTTTGATAAATAGTGAAAAGGAAAGAAAATAATTCATTATAATTTTTTTTCAATTATAATATTTTTTTTAATAAAATAACTTATAATATACAAATATATCTTTATACTACATAGTTTGTATAAACAAATCTTTTTAAACAAAATTGAGCATATTTAATATAATAAGATGTATTAACTTATTTATTCTGATAATAATTTCGTTTGTTTTATTGTTAAGACTTAAAAAATTATAAAATATTTATAAACTATAATGTTATATAAAATACTCATAAAAAAATTATTTTTGTAGGAAATGTTAGTTATATAATCAAATTTAATATCATAATAAAAATATGAATATAATAATTTTTTTATAAAAATAAAATTTTTTTAATGCTGATTCGCCTTTTTTAGATTACAAGTTGAAAATCAATACTACTTTATCTAATGTTGGATTTACAAAATAAAAATACAACTCCAAAAGCCATCATCTGATCAGGAAAGCGGTCCATTTATCTGGTTTTTTTCTCTACGATAGACTCCAAATTAAGCCATGAGGAAAGTTCGAAAATGTCACCTAATTTTATAGTGGACAATCGTACTTTGAGTAATTTTTTTTTATTTTGATAATTTGTTCATTTTTAGTCAAAAACAACCCATGGGATTTTAAATCTATCCATAATTTTGTAATTAATATCCATTTTCTGTATATAATTGTATATTGTTTTGTCCCAAGCGTGTATGATTCTAAGGTAGCAAATTCTCGTCCTTATTTCCAATATGTTATTTGCTGATTCCAAAACATGAATAGTTTCATATTGCAAGAAATTTCATTTTAGCAATAAAATTCTGCTAAAAGTCACATGCCTTTTGGTGATCTAATAATATATGAGATAATAATGGTAAATATATCTAAACCGTCTTGATATATTAAAATTTTGAATAAAAGATATATTTTAGTTTTAAAAAAAAAAAGAATTTAATTTACCTTTAAACCTCTCATCATATTATTTATTTGACTGAAGAAGATATTATACACATAAACTTCTTATTGTGGAGATGATTGTGCACTGCTTCCGATCGGGGTTACAACAATCATATTGTGGAGATTGACTCCCAAACCAATCTTAAGGTATGTTTTGCAGGGTGCTCCTTCCCATTACTGGCTCTACTGTGGATGATTGCAAGTCGTTGCTGGAATGGATGCAGAACGTGAGGGTGCAACACAACTTTAAGGAGGCAAACTTTTGTGCTGACCAATTAGCTAAATGGATCCCCTATGAACTCTTCCTTTCTGTTCTTTGAGGAACCTCTGAACTGTTGGCTTCTTTGTTATTGACTAATGCCATGGGAATTATGTTTCCCAAAACTATTTCTGTGTGACCCCTGTTGGGACTGTTGGGACTTTTGTTTCTGTTTAATGCACCTTTTATTAAAAACAAAAAAAAAAAAAGAAATGAGGAAACTACAAATGGTGTGATAACGGCAGATAATTATGACCTCTTGCGACAAAATCGTCTCAAAGTTAGACACTAATCCAACATATCCCATCCATCCATGGCAAAAGACAGAACCAGCAGTTTGGATTGAAGACAAAACATTATTATTTTATTATCACGTGTTTAAAACTGCTGACGTTAACCATTTGTATTTGGTCTACTCAACAATTTTAATCACTTGGCTTATTTCTATATATGCTTAACAACTGAAGAACTTCGACTCTAAGCATCTTATTCTAAGTTGTAACGAAAAAGAAACAAACATTAACTGCTTTTTTTTTTTTGAGGATGCTATAGTAAACTTTCTCCTTCTACCAAGATGAAAGAGGAGGGATGCTTTGTTCGTGCTTGAAGAAATTATCAGGATCAATCAACGTCTTCACATGCACCAATTTATTGAAGTTACTCTTAAAATATTTAAAACCCCAAATGCTAGCTTGTGCATAGCTTGTTTTGCCTTTATTGTTGACTCCGATGTCTAGATCCCTATAGTTGACATATGCTTCTCGTGGAGATTTGGAAACATAGGGAGTCATGTGATGATAAAATCTCCTAATCCAACTTAGGTACTTCTGAAATTCCAAATTTTCCTCTCCTGCTAGGCCAATATTGTATATGATTTTGTACATGTTGCCAGCTCTGTGTGGGAATGGCGTTTCAGTCTCTGGAATCTCATCCATTTTTCCCCCATAAGGTATCAAGAGAATTATGCCATAGTTTCCTTCTTCTTCGTAGAACTTTGGCCACACCTCTTCAAATACAGCTTTTGGAATAGGTTCCTTCACATAATCAGATTTTACTTTAAAAAATGTTTTGTTAACCGCAGCCCTATCAAGCAAAATTTCTTCTGTTGGAAGTTGACCAAAGTAAAGAAGAGATTGAATCCAACTCATTTCAATGCAGTCTTGTTTCACTAGTCCAAGCTCGGGAAATCTTTTCTCCATCAATGAAATGAGCTTATCAACCCCGCCAAGAAACAAGGCAGCAAAAGAAGCTTGAATTGTTTTCTTTCCTTCTTGACCAGAATTCACCCTTGATATGGCAACAAGAAGGAATATATCATTAGGAAGCTTGTGTGCAACGTACTGCCAACGATGGATAAGTTGGGTTGCATTTTGTTCCAGGGTCTTTGTGACTGTGAAAACAGTCACATTTGCCGGAACAGAAACCAACTTTAATTTCCAATCAAGAACAATCCCAAAGCTACCTCCTCCGCCTCCACGGATCGCCCAAAACACATCTTCTCCCATTGATTTTCTATCAAGAATTCTTCCATTAGCATCAATTAAGTGAGCATCAATAATGTTATCAGCAGCAAGCCCATATTTTCTAAACAATAAGCCGTAACCTCCTCCACTAAAGTGGCCACCAACACCAATAGTATAGCAAGTACCTGCTGGGAAGGCAAGGGTTCTGCTTTTTTCAGCAATCCTGTAATATAATTCACCTAATATTGCCCCAGATTGAACCCATGCAATGCGGTTCTCAACATCAACATCGATTGATCGAAGATTAACCAAATCAACGAGAACAAATGGAACTTCAGAAACATAAGAAAGACCCTCAAAGTCATGACCACCACTTCGAGTTCTAATTTGCAAGCCATGTCTTTTCGAACAGGAAATTGTGGCTTGGATATGGGAGGCATGCAAGGGTGTAACAATGACTAAAGGCTTTGGGGTAGCAATTGTGGAGTATCTAAGATTTTGAATGGAGGATTCTAGGATAGATGAATATGAATTATTATTTCGTGAGAAAATGACTTTAGAAATGGAAGATGAATCGTTTGAATGCAGGGAAAGACAATGAAGAAATTTCTCATGAGACTGATCAGCTGTGGTGATCACCCATGAAATTGACAAGAGAAAGGCAAAAAGGAAAGGAAACGTTGAGTAGTGAGGCTGAGGGGACTTCATTTTCTGGAGTTGGGAATTGATTGAAGTTTGCTACCGTATTTATAGTGCAAAGTAGTGAGGCTAATGCTTGATGGCCACGAATACCACGAGTCATGTGCCAACTTGATCAATCGTATCTAGATTATGTATTTTGAAGATAAAAGTTTGAATCCTGAATTTATATATACATATCTGACTTTCATGGTAATTTCGTTAGACTATTAGGCAAAATATAAAATAATTGAACAATCAATTAATGTAGTCACCAATAAATTAATGATACGAGTCAAATAAACACCTATTTTATATTGAAAAATTGTCTGACCTTTATAGCATATAGTTAAATTTCTTGACTTTGTTTTTTTTTTTATTATTGCAATTCTTGGCTCAATTGATTTAAAAACCCTTTAGCAGTCTTTGATTCTTATATTCAATGAAGGATGATGAAATATTTATTTCTTGTATACTAATCAGGTGTTTAAAAACAATACTAACATGATGTGAAAACCATCTGGCAAAGGCCACGTATATGTCAGAAGAAAATGTTTATCAAGCAGACATGAATGAAGTTTCCATGCAAGTACGAATCATAGAAGCCATGGAAATTCGATGATCACTTTCAGCAAAGTCATCCTACACTTTTCTTTTTTTTCTAAGCGTTGATATCTGCTTAAGCGAAAAGTGTTATCCACTTTCCAATGCCTTAATGGGCCTCTTTCGTTTTCATTTTTATTTAAAATACTAAAAAAAAGCATTTCTAGCAAAACCAACAAATCAAGTACTTTCAATTATGAAATTTCTTTGATGAATGGACATAAAATTACCGGCTCATTTGGATTTAAATGCAGGTTCAAAAGGCAAGATTACAGGATGTGATCGCTTTATAAGTGTGTTTGGATAACAAATATCAACGTCATAAAAATATTTTAAGACTTTTAGTTAGAGACCGAGCTCTTGTAGGTCCTGTAAAAAGCGGCAAATTTTAATCATAATAATCTTTCATTATTATCCTCCCTTTAATTTTTTTAACACTTTATTAGTTTTTCCAACACTTATTTTTGTTTTCTCATTTTGTTTTACTTTTAATTTTTTTTTACTTAAAAATTTTCAAAAATTTATTTTTTTAAAGGATCATATTATAAATTTTAATTATTTACTAATAAAATTATTATTTGATATAAGATAACTTAATTATTTATTAATAAAATTATTATTTGACATAAACTAATTTAATAAATGTTAATTATTTATTAAATTTATATAAATTAAATAATTTTTAATTTTTAATTTAATGTCTTTAATTGTAATTTTTTATTCTCACTACAATTTATCTTAATGTCTCCATTATATTTTTGTATTCAAATATATATCTCACAATATAATTTTATTTATGTAATAATTAATCTTATTAAAATTAATTTTACCGTCTATCCAAATAAACCATAAATAAGATTGGCTCATTTAAAGTTGTGTTTTGTTTTTTCTTAACCAATTAATATATTTCATTCATGAAAAAGAGCAATACAATAAACTTGTTCCTTACAAGAAAAGCAAGCTTTCGAAAATGCTACACCCGAAACAAGACATCATAGTAGAACCTACAAATAACACACACCTAAGCAAGAAACAAAACAGAGCAATCAACACCCATTTTTACCAGGGAATCAGTAAATAAGTTAGTTTATCTGTAAATATGAACAAAGTCAACGTCTCCAATAACTTCTCTCAGCCTGTCAATTCTAGCAAAAACCTTCTAAAGATTTTAAGGTCGAGATTTACTATACACCCAACATATTGCCATTTTCGGGTCTGATTCAATTATTAAAATCGTCGAATCTCCTAACGCCCTACCACAACTCGCTAAACCAGGCTTGCTTCTCATGGATCCATCAACATTAAATTTTAAGATATTATTACACGGGCATGACCACATCACTCCCCCTCTTTTATTAATAATCATCCGACCATTTACTTTCTAGGATAAGACCACCACTCAGAATCATTCACCAGGGCACCTTCTTCAATAGCTCTGACCTCAAAAAAACAATCTTAGTTTGATTAAAAATAGAACATCCATCTCAACGATATAAATTTGTTTTTTACCACCAGTACATTTTTGTTGAAGAGCTGATTATCCCATATTGTCAAAAGACTTCCTGATTTCCCCCCAGCAAGACTATAAGCCCAATTGAAATTCCCATTTGGCCAAATTTTCTATAGATCTAAAATCCCAAGAAACCAATTTAGTTTCCTGTAAGAATATCATTTCGATATGAAACTTCGTTATCAACCTCGTTACGGTATGTATTTTCATATCATCAGATATTCCACAAACATGCGAAAACACTTTTCTCATTGTTTCCCTTTCTTCTTGAAACCTACAAATATGCTAAACACACCCGATAGTTTACACTATACCCCTAACTAGCCCTAATTAAGTTATGACTAGCGATAAAGACAACAACTCCCTTCTATCTAGCCCCAAAACTCCTAACACAAAAGAAAATTCATGAGGTGTATAGATGTTTATGTTGGTAATATGTCTTATGACCAATCAGATTGGTTATGGGAAACATATTATATTATGTATTTCTATTATTATCAAAGGTATTCTTTATCTATGAGATTGTATACACATGATTAATATTACTTACTTTTTATAGATAAAGTCCTTGGAATAAATATGCTTTGCAAGAAAATTGCAATGAAATTGTAATTATGAGAGTATCATTACATTAAAGCATTATTTTTAAAATGTTCATAGTCAATGCTTTGTTAAAAAAGGACATAAATAAAAGTTGTTTAGATAGACACATGGTTATATTTTTACTTATGAAGCAAGCAACTAAACTCATATGTTAAAATTCGGGTAAACTTAAGCTAACATATAAGAACTTGTTATAAGAATAAGTTCACTAAACATAACCTGAGATGGGAATGCTATATGGTAGTTAACATAGTCCCTATAGCTACATTTTCATGTGCTGATTGTATAAGTAATTTTTTGACTTGAAATTATTTATGATCTTATATGTGGAATGTTATACTTTGACTTTACGTTTCTTATAGTTCTAACTAATAATGTTTCAATTGAGTATTGTTGGATATAACATGAGACATATGAAGATTGATGTAGTAATCAAAATGGGATTCATTACTTTGTGTAATCAATAGAGTATCTCAACTTGTCTTGATTGAATTAACTTGATAAATCTTTGGCCAAAGTGAAATGAAATTTTAAAATTGTTGTAAAACTTATTTGTGAGTTAAAGTTAAGGAAAAACCTTAACATGGTTGAACAAGATTGAGTAAATATTAAACTATACTCAATATTTAAACCAAGATGTTATGTGATGAAAGGATTTTAATTATACACTAAGATCAGTCATTGATAGGTTGTCAAGCCATATTAATTTTTCTTTAGCAATTAAGGTCATGGCAATAAAGGTAGTACTAATCATGATCTATAAACATAAGATTGTCTAATTAAAGAATTAGTGATGAAGTCAAAAAATTTGTTTCATCCATAACCAAATACTAAGACTCACAATACTTATATTTATTATCAATATGCTAAATAACCTAATGGGTCACACACAATAAAACATGTTGTGAAAGATTAAAATTGAGATAAATTAAGTTAGACTTAATTTATTTAGTTAAAATCTAATATAGAGAAACATACAAAAGTCTAATACTAAATGAGGATGTTGTATGGCCGGCCAAGCAAGTAGTCCTATTAAGAACAAGACTTGGTCAAAGGGTTATTTATTGAAAATAGAATTAAGCATAAAAAAGCCCAATTACCTTAGAGTTTTGACTTACTCTTTGTCTTTATATAATTAGGCCACCCCTTCTCTAGTAGTATTCTAAGAGAATAAACATCTTATGTGTTGTGAACAATTAAAGAAAATACAAAAAGGGCAATCGACAAATCTTACTTGTTAGAGATTTTAATTTTGAGTTTTTTCCCATCTCTTAGAGAAGGTTCTTTCACCTTTGTTCGTATAATCACCATTAGAGACTGAACACTTGATTATTAACTTTTTTGCTTGAGAAACTATTTGAAAGATCACTAACTTGAACCAAAAGAGTTTCAACATTCAAGGTAACAATCATAGTTGAAACCTATATAATTTGCATATATTATGTGTTCGTATACTTTGATTTTAGTTTTAAAAAATTAAAAATTTAAAAATTTACTGCTTTAACTCTGATTGTTGATGCTTAATTCCTTTTAATTTAGGCCTAGCTTCTCTACTAGCCCCCAACCCATCTAACTCATTACTACTAAAATATCGTCTCCAATATTAGACTGTTGTCCTTTCTGAGGACTCCGACCCGTACTTGAGCATTGAGAATTACAGGCCTGCTCTGACATCTCCCTAACTACCTTCTTAAAAGCTATACACTCTTCTCAAAATCCTTCCTGTTTCCAATGATAGGAACCAGGCCTCTAGGGAAATATTCCCTATCATCTCTTATTTTGTGCATCTTTCTTCTTCGCCCTTTTATTACTAGAGCTCGCCTCTTCAACTTCCTCTGATGCGTCTTTTACACTGAGATCATCTGAGCTGTGGAATTGTTTTGCTACATGACTCTGTTTATCCTGACAAGTTCACAAATTCTTGCTGTTCAACTCTATTTCTGAGACTCTAATTGGAAAACAAAATTACCCCTCTATAAGTTAAACAATGCTTTCTATTTTGGAAAAATAATCTGTAACAATAAAATTATATCTCCTATGAAAAGATTGAAGCTTCAAAGAATTCTTATCCATACAAACAAACTCCCCCTAACAACTGGCAATATTTTGGAAGGTCTGCCAATCCATGCATGAATAGGCACACGGCATACTACTTCTACTTTTAATTCTTTTCTCAGACCAAATCTCAATATCCACAAACCAATTGGATAAACCAGAGCAATTTTTAGATTTCATTTCTTCAAACTTTACACTATCCTCAAATTTAATAAGATAAACGTCACCAGAGATTCTTCTTATGATAGTAACTTCTATCCCATCCTTACTTATGACATCAGAAAGTAATTTATAGTCTAAAAAATGCCTACTACACTTCTCTCCAGCCAGTGAAAAATTTCAT